TCCCTGCACATGGGTTAATCCAGAAAGGGTTAACTGCTGTTAAGTATCTAATACCTGAATGCATTATGGGCTTAAGTCACTGTCTGGCACATAGGGAGTAAAGTACGTGCGTGACCTAAGGTCATACTGCTTGTTGGTCTGGAGTTGCACCACAAGACAAGTGCTGTAGCAGGGCATATTGCTGCTTTATAACCAGCTGAGCTGTGGCAGGGGGTTGGAGATGTCCCTGTAGCTCAGGGCTCTCCATGCATGTACCTTTTGGCACCTCGCATATTTGTCCTGAAAAGGGTCTAGGGTCTCTTTGGAGGAGCAATGACTAAGCAAGCTTCAGGAAAGAGTTAAACATGAGCATGAGTTACGTGGGAAGCCATTGGTCTGAATCTGGAATAGAAACATTCATGCCATATTCAAATGTTGTGCTAAACCCCTGCCCACACTAATCTCTAACCCTGCTGAACCTGGTACAAAACCTGGTACTGCAATTCATTTCCTGCTTGCTGGGAAAGGAGATGCCTGACCTTGATTCCAAGAGAAATCCTCGTGTGGGGGGAGAGGACAGAAGCAGCTTGGCTGTGGTGGGGCTGCATCATTGCTGTGGTTGGCATAGGGCCTCTGACCTGTCATCTCCTGAACACAGCCAGGCAGCTTTAAAAAGGAGCCACAGCCCACAATCCCCAGGTCCCAGCATGCAGGCCAGGTCTCTAGGGACAGTAAAAATCAAAAGAGACTTCATAATAAAATGGGCCTTTCTCAAATCTAAAGAATGAGAAGCCCCTTTTGATCGCTGTTTCCTTCCCCTCCTACTGGGAAAGCAAATGCACAAGCAGGAAAGCAAAGAGGGCCATTTTCCTTAAATGCACCAGGGCTCTTTTGAAGGTGATCTCTTTGCAATGGAGTGTTTCTGGAGTGTAAGTTACAGGCAGGATCATGTGGGGTTAGATTCACATGTCTGTATCTCCTTGCAGGTAACCGAGGAACCACAGCCGGGAGCTCAGGAGATGCGCTTGGGAAAGCATTAGCTTCAGTAAGGATTTCTTTCTCTAAGTTCCTCCTGGCAGTGCCTCCCTGCAATAGCAGCCCCTTGCTGGATTGCTGCCCAGCTGCCTGGCTTCCTGCCCTGGGTGGGAGAACTCGAATGTCACTGTTTTGAATAACTCTGGTCCTGAGGTTGCTGCTGCATTTTAGTGGCAAAGATGTGGGGGTGTCTGGCCCAGCAGTGAGGGCATTAGCCAGAGATGTGTGAGATCTATCCTCAGCTCCCAGTTGTGCTACCAACTCTGCAGGCAGGTCTTTCAGGGCACATCTGCACCACAGTAGGGCTGACATCCCAACCAGACCATTCCCAAACCCACTCTGCCCAGAAATGCACTGCTGGAGATGTTCTGCAGCTGCATTGTGCTGATGTGCCTTTTGTCCCCCTGTGCCTCCCTTCCCTGTCTGTCAGACATACTGCTCAGCAGCATTACGGATAAATATGCTGATGGGGCTGGCAAGATGCAGCAGTCAAAGAATGGCCATAGGCTCCCCTAGCTCTTTATTTCCCTCTCTTGGCATCCTGAAGTCATCTGTAGTTCTGTACCCTGGCATTATCAGAGTGCCAAGTATGAGGGGAGGCAACATGCAGATTCCCTCCTGTCTGGGCACGCATGTATTTTTGAGGGCAGCTCAGCTCCTGATAGCCCTGAGTCTGGATGTCCAGGGCATATACGCTTCCCCAGGCTACATGCTGCTGAGCTAGCTTCTGCTACATCCTTCTTGAAACAAGTAGGCAAGAATGCCGGCTGTCCTGGGAGTAAGTGACAGCACTTCTTGTTGGGTGTTATCTAGTGTTGTGCAGCTGACAGACTCAGCAGGGATGGTGATGTTGGAGGATAGGGTTTTCATTGAGGATCCTTGTGGTCAGGGCTGCCTTCTCCACTCCCTGCCACACTTTTGGTGTCCTTCTGGTGTTTGGAGTTCCCTTGTCCTGGAACCTGTTAATAATACCTCCTACTTAAATTGTAATGCCCCTCAGGCCCCTCTCACTGCAGCATGTGGACACCTTGCAGTCACCTGTGTGTTTATGTTCCCAGCTCCTGCCATGATGTAAAGAATTGTCATTTTGATTAACAGGGAGCCAAGGTACATGGAAGGTTGGATTGTAGAATAATACAAAAGTCTGTCTGGAAGGACTCTCAAGAGATCACTTCTAGTCCAGCCCCCTCTTCAGGCAGGCTTGGCCCTCTCTAAACCATCGTAGACAAAGCTTTGTCCACTTGCTTTTAAAATCTTCAGGAACAAACCATCATGCACAACTACCAGCACAATGCCTGAGACATCAAACACACCCTTTAACTTGTCCCAGGTAAAGCAGGGGAACAAAGACGCTGCCAATGTCCTGCCATTGCAAAGACAGGAAATTCTCTTGAGGTCCCGAGTCTGCAGCACCCACAGACTCCAGGTCTCCTGCATCCCAGCTTAGTGCTTGATTCACTAGATGGTTGCTGGCGCTTCAGCCTGTAGGCATGTGCTGGGTTTCAGTGCAAGGGGATATTTTCAGCCCAAAGCTGATGTGTGGGCAGTTATTTTAAACCTAGCACCCTGCTAGCTAGGGTGGGGGAATGCCGACTTGACCAACGATCTGTCTAGCCAACTGCTCCCTTTCAGTCCCAGCTCTGGCCTAGTGTGATTTTTGCATGCAACAGTCTGTCCAGCAGCCCTCAGTATCTCATCCTGTGGCTGCATGTGGAAAGCACGTGGCTGGCAGCTAGATTGGTGCAGCACCTGTCTCTGCTGTTATTTCTTAGCATCTTTACCCCCTGAAACCTCAGGTTGTGAGAACCCAGCGACTGCAGTGACAAACTGATATGCTTGCTGCGAGGAAAGTGCTTAATGGAGGGGAAAAAAAAATCCCGCAGTTGTGTAGAAATTGATGTAAATTCCTGCCAGCAGAGAGCAAGGATGTTGTTACCTCCCCCGGGGGGGAGAGAGGAGAGGAGTGGGGAGAACAGGAAAACCATCTGTTGCATTGGCTGGGAGCTGGGGGAATTGCCAAGGGTGATGTGAGGAGGCTTAGCACTTGAGTGCTTGGCACTTGGGTGCTTTTAGCACAGGTGAGGCCAGGAAGGGTTCATGGCCCTTTGTTTCCAAGGTGCCCTTTGCTAACTATGGTCTGTTCTCTCTTGCTCCAGATTTACTCCCCCGATCACTCTAGCAATAACTTCTCTTCAAACCCCTCTACGCCAGTTGGCTCCCCTCAGGGGCTTGCAGGTACGTGTGTACGTGGCTGCCGTTCTCTAGGGAATGGCTCAGAATCATCCTGGGTTTGTCCAAATGTGTTAATCCAATTTAAACCATGTTTAAAAAAGAAAAAAAGTAATTTTTGAAGCAGTAGCTGGTCTGTGAAAGAGCTGATTGGCTCAGGTACAGAGACAGGCAAGCTCCCTTCTCCAGCCAGAGCTTTGAAAAGTGGCTCATGACTTGGTGCCTGGCTGTAGATGCTATGGAGAGGCCTGATTTGTGTGGAGTCTTAACCCAAGTAACAAGGCTCCCTTGAAGTTTGAGTTGAACACCAGAAATGACTGATTGCCTTGAAAACCTTGGGTTGTGCGTCTCAGTGGGAACCTTGCAAGCCGTTCCCAGGCTCAGGAGTCCAATCCATGTGGCAACAATGTGCTATTGCCTGGAAGTAAAGTTTTTGCTACTGCCTGTTCAGTACCTGCTCCCGTGTTTGCCTTTCCCAAGTTGCCCCTTCATGCTCACCACTTTTGGGAACATGCTCTATAAACTTGTTCCGTGTGTGTGCGTGTGCGTGCTTGAGCATTGGTCGGAAGGGCTCAGTGTAAATTAGTAGGCAGCTGACAGGTTAAAAGCCATTTTCAGAGGCTGTTTTGCACTGTGCGTAAATCATCTGCACATAACCTGGCAGCTTGATCCAAGTGCCCTATTCAAGGAGGTTTGGTTTTTTTCCAGCAGCAGGAACTAGCGTCCAACCTGGGGCTTTGTTGCTGGAATTGATTCAAGCAACTCCCTTTTTCCCTGAAGGGCAGAGGTGTGCAGTGGCGCCTCCCTTTGCTCCTACCGTCCAGCCCATCTTGCGTGGCAGGGTACACGTAGCAGAACAGCCAGCAGTGTCCTCACCCTTTGCCTTGCTGCCCTGTTGCAGGCACAACAGGACTCGGGTGCAGGTACTTGAGAGTGATGCTTCTGCTAGATATAAATCCAGAAGCAGGCATGGGCTGGGTGTATGAGCCTCCCCTCCTCACTGACCAAATTAGTGCCCATGTGCAGAAACAAGGGAAGGTTCAAAGAACCCAGTGTGCTGCTGGTTTCCATACTCAAGCAAAGAAGCCACTTCTTTGCAGCTTACCTACCTACCAGAAGCACTGGTAGGAAAGGAAAAAGGCTCCAGGCAGGCAAGGGCGTGCATGAGCAAGAGTGTACAGTCGCACCAGCAGTGTGTCTGTGCGTACACATGCCGTCTGCCTGGATTGGATTCCTTCTTTGCCAGCAGTTAGTTGCTGTGAGGAGCAGCTGTATTAGCTTGCTGTCCCGTCAGCCTCCACTTGCTAACAGGACTGATGGCAGACCCATTGCACCAGCACTGCCTTGTCCATCTCTGATGGGGCAGTTGAACCTGCCACATGTTCTCCAGCACCTGCTTTCTGGGGCTCTGGCTCCATCTAGTGTCATGTTGTCAGAGCTGCACACAGTGTTTCTGATCCTGTGTTTGCTTCCAGGCACATCCCAGTGGCCCCGGGCTGGTGGACAGGGTGCCTTATCTCCTAGCTATGAAGGGAGTCTCCACACTTTAGTAAGTGTCACTGAAAGCTTCTGTGCTCCTATTTTCTGTCCTTTTTGTGAGTGTTGTGCAATGAACAGCAGTGAGTGAAGTGGTAGTGATGGGGGATGAGAGCCAGAGGGTGCTGTCTTCTCCCAACAAGATATAGGACCAGACTTACTAAGGTATTTAGGTGGCTGCAGACACCTAGTTGAATGTGCCTGAGCAGGCCAGTCTTCTGAATCTTTCTGTGAGAGCCAGGAGCTGTTGTAAACCCCACTATGTGCTTTGCTCTGTCTCTGGGCAGTTAAATACCTTGTATAACATTCCCTGTCCCATCCTAAACAGCTTGGGCCTCTGCTGTCTCCCACAGCTTGCAGCAGCAATGCTGATCTGGTGCTGGCACCCAAGCTGGCTGTAGAGGCATTTACCCATGTTGCTGGCTGCTTTGGCATATGGGGCTGGGTGGGTATTACCCCCTGTGAGGCATGAGTCATTCTGGTAGGTGAGGTTGCAATACGCATCTCTAAGAGAGTGACTGAAAGCTTCTATCTAGCAGTTAATGCAAAGGTTTGGGAATTGCCATACCACTGCCTCTAGCCTGAGACCCCATTTGTTCACTGGTCAGAGCCTGACATTTCAGAGGAAAGGGCAAGAACCTCACTGTGGCCATCTGTCTGATATTCTGTCCAGCTGGGGTGCTTTTTCCCCATCTCAGATGGTTAATGATTGTACTGGAGAGTTTGTATCCCTGGCCCTTCTGATATAACCAGGGGTTTCATATTCTCCATACGCATATTCTTGCACTGCTGTAGCTCAGCCCTCTTGAATCCTGTGGAACGCCCTGCCAGAATATAATTTGTGCACGCTGTAGTGGTTCCTTCCCATGAGAGAGCACTTAGCAAGGGGTAGCTTGCTGACAGCACAGGGAAGGTTGCAGGTGGGAATAGTCCTTCTACAGTCAGTTCTTCTTGTGGGTCTGAGTTCCTTGAGAGCTTTAAAGGAGTTATGGGAAACAGGTGTGCTGTTGCAGCCAGCTGTTTCATTGATCTGAAACTACAGCAAAGCCCTGAGTGATCCAGTAGACATCTCGATGGGCTGTTAAGTTTTTTAAAATGTTAATGCAGTCTCCTTTTCCCCTTGTACCTCAAGCAAAACAAAATGGAAGACAGATTGGATGAAGCCATCCATGTACTGAGGAATCATGCCGTGGGCCAGACAGCTGCCATGACGGCTAACCATGGAGAGATGCACGGTCTGCTGGGATCGGCACCTGGCCACAGCGCCACAGTGGGCGGACTGGGCCAGGCCTTTCCCCCTTCAGTCATGCCTCTAGGGAACAGACATCCGAGTCTGGTGAGTAGGGACCGGTGGGGATGGCTGTTTGCATTGCTCTAGCACCCAGGTGTCAGAGCCCTGTTGTGCTGGGTAGGGTACCATCTCATGGGCTGGGCAGTCTCTGGGACCCTGTCTGCTCACAAACCTTTGCAGACTACAGGGGGCACAGCCTTCCTCTAATTTAAAAGTAACTTGAATCAGCTTGGTATTAAACCTATTGCCAGGCCACGTCAAGCTAAGTAAGCCATGCACTCTGATCTGAATCAGTGTCTAGGTTACTGGGTGGTGAAGAGGAATGTGTGGGTCCCAGGGCCAGTCCAGACTTGGAAGCACTAGCATCTGGTTTGACTTGTATTCTGTAGCTGCTGGCCCTCATGTTTGCCCTTAAAGGCTGCTCTGCTTGTTCCGCTCTAGGTGGGAGGAGGTCACCCTGAAGATGGGCTGCCTAACAACCCCAGCATGCTCCACAACCACGTCACACTTCCATCACAGCCCAGCTCGCTCCCCGATCTCAACAGGCAGCAAGACACATACAGTGGTAAGGTGGCACTTCCCTGCTCCACATGTACACGTGCTTTAATCTGATCTGCTTCTCAGCTGGCTGCGTACCCTTGTGTGTCCTTTTGTGAAACCTGACGTCTGGAGAAGGCAGCTCTGAGGCCTGATTCCAAGTGCAGAATAAGCCCAGTGATGAAAACTTTGCATGCAAGAAGGGGATGATCCTGCAGCCTGTCCTCGATCCAGCCTGTCTCAGCATGTGGTCTTGTACCTGTTGTCATCTGTGTGAACAAGTGGTTGTTAGACCCCTGCCTAGTTTGTGGGTGCTGTTGGGGTCTGACTGGAGGGCACTGGGTGCAAATAGGCCTCAGGAAATGCCTCAGTCTGAAACCTAGATGTTTGAGGTGGAAAAAGTCCTGTCAGGACAAACCCAGTCCACCTTCATGTCTCCTTACTGCTGGTTTTCAGACACAGAGTTAGTCCATTTGTCTGCAGGTGGCCTCTGTACCTAGATTGACAAGAATCTGGGCACAGACTGCTGACACGGACGTGTATGAACACACTGGGGAAACATTCTGCCTTTGAAATGTCCTCCCAGGGATTTGGGGTGGTAACTCCAGCATCAGGCTGGAGCAGTGAGGCTTCCTGGAGTAAGGGGTTCCAGTCCCTGCTGGGTCTACTTGCTCATGGTGTTCTCCATAGGAATTGGGCTTTGTCCAAGTGTGGGCCCAGACTCCAGAGTCGTCTCATAGAGGTTGGCTTTATTTGTGATACCATACATCTAGGATGTATGAGGTGCAATAGGATTCTGTGGAATGAGTTGCTTTGCGCATACATGAGGGTTATCTTGCCTAGTCTGACCAAGTGTCGGAGGGGATGCAGATGGGTCATGGCAGCAACCGTCCCTGTCCTTTCCCCATTGTTGAGATTTCTGTCTAAGCACTATGTGCTGCTTTGATTCCTTTGTAGGCTTGACAGGGGGGCTTGGGAGAGGAAGTGTCACCTCAGGGCTGGGTGAGATAAAGCGGGAAGAGAAGGAGGATGAAGAAAACACATCAGTGGCTGATAACTCGGAAGAGGAGAAGAAGGAACTGAAGCCGTCGCGGAACAGAACAAGGTGCTCTTTGAACAGGTCTCTCCCTTCATTCATTCTGTTATTGGCTGGGGCTTGGGGCAGGGCTAAGACCAAGATGACCAAATGGGTGCTGGGTGGGGCCTGTCTGCCCTGCTGGCCTCCTGCCTGCTATCCATGTGGCAAGGGAAGAGCACTAGCACTGGCTAGATTTGGGGGTTCAGTTCTGGGCTTCTGCCAAGCAGCCTCTCCCCCTTGCTCTTTCGGACCACTCCACCTTCGGAGCCTAAAACTGTGTGGCCTGCCCCAACCTCCCTGTTCAACAGGAGGGGTTGGGGGCCACCAGCAATCAGACGTCCCAGGGGGAAGGTCTGTGCTGTGTCCATCCTCTGCCATGCTCCATTACTGCCTCCAGGCACTCTTAAAATAGACAGGCCAAGCAGTGGAGCAAGCTGCATTCGTGCTGCCCAGCCGATCTTGGGGCATTGCTTCTGGCCCTGCTTGCCTGACCAGGGAAAGAGGGGCTTTGTGCCTCCCCAGCCCTCCTACCTCAGGCAAGCTGTCATTAGTTTGTCCAGGAAAGGTGACCGCTTCCTTTGGCGTCTGAGGAAACTGGCTCTTCACTGCATGCAGCTGGACTTTGCTTGTTCTCTATCACCTACAGCCAGTGACATGGGACTTGCCAAAATAAACCAGAAGCTAGGCTCAGCCAGTGGCCAGCCCCAGCTGCTTCAGAGAGCACTGCAGTGGGCATGGAGTCATTACCAGCCTGGAGGGGAGGCTCTGTCTAGACTCCAGCCTATCAGTGGCTGATCTATGCCCTGTAGCTGGAGGGTTTTATCCCTAAGGGTTTTGGTCCTTGTTCTTAGATGCAAAAGATCTCCATACAAATGTCTGATCCTTTGTTTTTTTCTTTGACCTGTTGGCCACAATGGGATCAGTGACAGTGAGTTGGGGGGTAACTTGCATTGCTCTGGTTTTGTTTAAAAAAAACAAAAAAAAACCCCTTTCCTTCTGTTGTTTCTAAATGGTTTCCTTTGGATGTAAGCACACGTCCCTGCTTCTGGGATATTGCGCAGCTGTGATGCTTCTTGCCCAGGGCAGTGTCGCCACTTCCTAGGGCGATGCCATTCCTGGCCCTTTCGATCTGGGAAGAAAACTCTCACTGTGTGTCGATGCCTGAACATGTGTGTTGCTTTTGTGAGTTGATCAGTGCTGAGAGTGCACACGAGGAATGTCCCTGTCTCGTTCTTATTTTAAACCATTAGTCATGATGAGGATGAGGAGGACGATCTTCTTCCCCCAGAGCAAAAAGCCGAGAGAGAAAGAGAGAGGAGGGTCGCCAATAATGCCCGTGAGCGCCTGCGGGTCCGTGACATCAACGAGGCCTTTAAAGAGCTCGGACGCATGTGCCAACTCCACCTTAACAGCGAAAAACCTCAGACCAAACTGCTAATCCTACACCAGGCCGTATCAGTCATACTGAACCTGGAGCAACAAGTTAGAGGTCAGTGAGGGTCCCGGAGTGGTGATATTTTACGTATCTGATCGGCACGGGGCTGTCTGTCTGTCTGTCTGTGACACGTCACGTGTGCCGTGGTGCCTAGCACTGTCCTCTCTGCCACGTGGCCCTGGGTCCTCAGGGCCATTAAGTGTCCTTTTTTTCATTTTAAGTTTGGTTTTGAACCCTGCTGTTCTATCCTCATTTTTTTAAGCCATTGCATGTGCTGCATGTTGCTTGTTCCAAAGCCTGGGCTGTGCCCTCCTGTGTGCATAATACTACAGCTCCTGGGCAGTGAGCATCCTTGCTCCTTGTAGAGTGCCACCTGCCTTTAACTTGGAAAGGGGTTCTCCTGCCATCTGGAGAAAGCCCCCCCCATGAAATGAGGCTGGGCCTGAGAGTGGCATGCCATGGATGGATGGGTGTGGCTTGCCTTCCCTGTGCTGTGTTAGCTGGGCAGTGCTGTCCTGCTCTGCAGAGCTCAGTATCATAATGGGGGAGAGCCAGAACTGTTTGATAGGTGATGAGCTCAATGCAGCTCGGAGGGGTAGGGTCAGCCCCCACCCTCCATGCCACTGGGTTTCTCTCCTGGCCCTCTTAGCTTTTAAACTGGATTCTAGGCAAATGCTGCCTGCCCCAAAAATGCAAATTGTGCCCAGCAGCCATTCAGAGCTTCCCTGTAGCAGCATTGCCTCTTCAGTATAATTGAGTGATTGAGCCACATATTTCAGGGGACATGTAGTGTCCCCCCCCTCCACCTCCTTCCCTGCCCAGGCAAGGTTGCTCCCTCACTGCTAGTTTGCAGTCCAGTCTAGTGTTATATGTATAAGTGCTGGGGCTTCCCGGGGTGCTGTTCCCATGCAGCTGGGGCTCTTTGGTCATGTTCAGCTCAGCCAGAGGGGAAAGCTCTGGGTTTTATTCCCTGCTCCAGACTTTGAAGGATTTTGCTGCTTTTTCCATAATGCTTGCAGTGCATGTTTCCATATTAACTTCTCCTACCCCCATCACTACAGAAGCAACTGTGGTGGGTTAACCCATTCTCTTCTGGCAGAGACCGCTAATGTAAACCCATGGTTTGTGCCTGGCTCCTTCTCCCCTGCTGGCCCCTCGCTATGGCATTGTGATGTTGGACTTTTTTGTGCCTCTTCAGTTTGTAATTTTTTGCCTTCCATAACATGTATATTTTTCCTGTCTCCTTTTTATTCCCCCCTTCCTTTTCATTTTTTTTGTTCTGTTCTTTCCAATCTCCTACAGACAGTCCCCAGCCGTGACCTCTCGGTGGTCCCACTCTCTACCTTGTACTTGCTGCTTGCTGTTTGAGACAGAAAATGGAGGGAGGTGGGGAGGGTTGGCAAGAGAGAGTTGGCACCATGTTCACTTTGGTCTCCCACGCTTGTCCTTTTTTAAAGTCTTCCCAGAAATGGCAGCCAGGCAGGTCGCTTACCCCGGCCCCACACTGCTGGTGCCCGGGACATCGGTACAGTGAGCTGGGACATTGGCCCTTCAATGGGAGTTACGTCCTGCTTCTCCTCAGCTCCCTACTGCAGGTTATCAAAGCATTTCTCTCTGATCAACAACACTCTAGCAGTTAGGCCACCGAGCCCAGTTTACAACAGAGCTTCTGGACATAGTAAGGACTCAGAGGAAAGCAGCAGAAGTTAGAGAAGCTGCCGTTGTGGCTAGATCTGTTCTGTGGAAGGGCCAGGCACTGGCATGCATTGGTCTACACATAGTTCAGCAAAAGAGGTGAAGTATCAAGTGCCTCATATCCTGCGTGGGGCAGAACTTGGCCTTGTCAACACAAATCCAGTTGCCTCAAGCCCTTGTGTTTCTAGCAAGGAGAAGTAGCTGTGTGGAGGACTGCTGTGGTTCCGCTGATGGTGAATGCAGGAGACATGGCCTGAGGTGCAGTCCCTGCTGGGGGAAGTTTGCAAACTGGACTCATAAGAATGACTGCAAGAATTTCTGTAAGTAGCAGGCAGTGCTGATGTTTCTGCCAAGATTGGAGTTTGCCTAGCTTCAGGGAGATGTGGATGTCTTGATGCAGGCTGGGAATCCTGGCAGCATCTCTTCTCCGATGCCCTGGAACTCTCCCAGCAGCAGACTTCCTGGCACGTGGAAACAGAAAGCTGAAGCATGGGCCATGGGCCTGAAGCACCTGAATGCATTAGGGTAGCTAGGACTGATCTGAAGTACAAGTTGCCTTACCCTGCTGGTTGCAGTGGTACCCCAGCTAGCTCCCCATCTCTCCTTCCTGAGAGCCAGCTGTTGTTCCTGCCAGCTGGGGCGGCGAGGAATGCCCTGCTCTACACGGTCCTGTCCTTGGCAGGTTCTTCAAACCCATCGCAGGTCCTTTGCTTCTGCCACCACCCTCTTGGTTGAAAGTTTAATTATATCTGATTCCTCTTGACCCAAAGCAGGAGCCTGAGGCTAGTGTGCGGCCTTACCTGAAGACAGCCTTCAGCCAGTTTTCTTTCCTGTGAGAATTTTGCTCTGGGGGAGAAGGTCGTCCGTGCACATAAAGGGACAGAGAAGTGAGGGAAGTGCTATAGATTAGGCCAAGATTGTAAGGTGCTGCCAACCTGTGTCTGCACTGAAATCCCCACTCCCGTTGGCTCCCTGCTCTAGCAGGCTGCTGACAGAGCTGTGGAAACCGAGGTGCTGTGCACCAGGGACTTAGAGCTCATGGCCACGGCTTCGAAGACCTTTGGCTGGAGAAGGTAGACACCAACCCCCGGGCCTGATTTTTGGCCCCCTTGAAAGAACTAATGTCAGTTCCTGCCTCTGCAGCTGACTCGGTGTGACTCAGACAGGTCACTTCTTGGTGCCTGTGTTTCCCCTCCTGTAAGATGGATATCACCAGTGTACTGAGCAGTGTGCTGTGAGTCATGCTGATTAGAAACTTTGTCCCATCTGGGTTTTGACAGGAATTGGAGTTTTGTTTTGGACACACTTGATATTTGGTAAAGAACGCCTGCCTTTCTCTGAGGCAAAAAGGGAGTTTTCATCAAAAAACTGAAAACCAAAAGGGTTTGGGCTGAAAACCAAGGACTTCTGGTTTCCAGATGAAAACTTACAGAAAGTCGAAGTTTCCTGTGGGAAGAAATTCCAAGTGTGAGCAGCCTGAGTTGTGCAGAGTGGCTGGGAGGTGTGCGTGCGCCCTGCCATGATAGGTACTGTGGGCCCTGAGAGGTGGCATCGCTCCACCCTCTCCCCCATCCCTGCCACCATCCCGCACACACTTGCACTCCTCAAATCTGTGCAGAGAGGGTGACCAGTGCTGGCAGCACCTTACCTTGGCACACAGCTGGCAAGGAGCCCAAAACCAGGGCTCCTTTAGAAATTGGCAAGTCCCATTCTCCCTTCTCAATTGGCTTCTGCAATCCAAGGTTGACTGAGCTTTGGCAGTGGACACTAGTGGCACTACCAGCACAACAACTGCTAGACCCCCTGTCCGTTACACCCTCCCTAACTAATCTCTGTGGTGCTGTGAACCCAGCAGTACAGACGAGGCCCTGTCACTGGAAGACAAAGATCTGAGGGACCGGGAGAGGAGAATGGCCAATAACGCCAGGGAAAGGGTGCGTGTACGGGACATTAACGAGGCCTTTAAAGAACTGGGACGCATGTGTCAGATGCACTTAAAAACGGACAAAGCACAGACCAAACTGATCATCCTACAGCAAGCGGTGCAGGTCATTCTGGGCTTGGAGCAGCAAGTACGAGGTATGGTAACAGCTGACAGGTGCATTTGGGGGCCTTTCTCTCCCTGGAGATTTCTGTGTGCATGTATGTAGAAGGGATGTTCTTAACTGAACCTTTTGCTGGTGGGATGCATGTGAGGCTGAGACTTCCAGAGCTGCCTTGGCGGAGATGAACACCCAGTTCCCTGGCAGTTGATGGGAGTGAGGCAACTTTGGAAAACTCGAGTCTTTAAACCTTTGTAAAATGGACGGGGTTGCCAGGTGGTTTTAAACCCACGTGCATTTAAACTGACATAACATCCCCGCAGGGGAAAGAATCTGGCTTTGGCAGGAAGGTCCAGTGAGGGAACTGCAACTGTTACAAGGAGCAGCAAGGCTAGTAGAGGCTTGCACGGAGGTTATTTCCTCACGTGGTGCAGTGCACCTGCTCTGGGACTTGGTTCTCTCATTTGGATGCTTCTGCTCTGTGATGCTCTTGCACAAATTGAGGCTTCCTCCCTTACTGTTCTTGGCACAGAGCGCAATCTGAACCCTAAAGCAGCCTGCTTGAAGCGTCGGGAAGAGGAGAAAGTGTCTGGAGTAGTAGGAGATCCCCAGATGACACTTTCAGCTTCACATCCTGGCCTAGGAGACGGTCACAACCCTGTTGGACACATGTAAAGGTATCGTCCTTTGCCCTGGTCAGGCCCCAGTACTCATTTCTGTGTGTGAAATGCACAGCACTGCTGTTGCATCTAGCAGCTGGTTATTGATTGCTCAGAACTGAATTCCCAGCAACTGTGGCGTATGCTTAGATGTGCGGTGCTAGCCAGTGAGAAGGAGGCCCTTGCATTTCTCTATCAGGATGAGCGATGGGCTGGGCTGTTGGTATGAAAATGCTGCTGTATCATTAGGCGTCCCCTGTAATTCATCTTTATGAACAAAACCCACATGGAAACATTTCATTTCTTCAGTTACTGGCCAGGTTGTTCTCTGCCATGGCCCCTCTGCTCTCCCTCCTGGGAGAGTGTAGTAGCTAGTTCCTCTCTGTTGATGTGCATTAACAGCCCCCATGTGAGAACAGGCTCTCCCTCTGTCAGGGCAGTGAGGGATTATCAAAATCACGTGTGCTTCACAGCCCATGCCCTTAAAACAGGCAGCAAAGTTAGAGCTGTTCTGAGGAGCAAGGCACAGGGGTTTTGGATGGTTTGGGCAGGGCTGGCCATGATGTTGTAATCCCTGCTCTTGGCTTTCCTTGGAAATGATGTCCTCTTCCTGCTCATAGGACACAGAGGAGTGTTAGTCACAGTCTATATTTCCTTTTTTCTGGCAGTCCCTCCATCTGTCTGCACCTCTGAGCCACAGGCCCATATTTATAGTGTCCCGGGGGTGGCTGTGAAAGAAGCTGAAAGGAATTGCCCCTTTGTAGCAAATGGGGAAGCTTTACAGCAGCAAGTTATGATAGATGGTACACAGGACTGTACAAGTTCGTATCCCCTCCCTACCGAGATCTCGGGCACACCCTGCATTGTGGTATCTGCATCCATGTTTTATTTGACATTTAGAGGAGCTTGGACCAGTGTCACTTAACTCCCCTCCACCCCAGAGGTGCTTTGTGGGTTGTGATGCGAGTCTGCGGTGGTCTAAGACCCCTGGATCAGCTAGGCATTCCCTGAGTCACGGTAAGCTGAGAGTCCTCAGGGCAAGCAGCTGGACCGTTCCTCTGATTCCACCTACCTGAGGCCATAGCACTTTCAGGCCTTTTACCATAGCTCTTGTGTTCCTCCTCCTCCAGTGGAAAATGTGGCCATCTCTAATTGCAAAACAGTCCTTAATAATTGTGTTGGCCCCAAATGCATGCCTGCCACAGACCTAATAAAGACAACTCGATAGCTTATTTAGCCCTTACATTCCCTGGGTGAGGAACACTGGCACCTTTCATGCCCTGGGTGAGAGTGGTTGGGGGATTGCAGTTCATGTGCCTAGATTTCAGGATGCGCTTGATGACCTGGCTCAGTCACAGTGCATCTTCACCTGTGAACATGCTTGTCCTTAGCCTGTAACATCAGAGCGTCAGGCTCCTGAAGTGTGCTGCAACAGTCAGCTGCTGTGCAGGCATGTTGGGGAAGGTTACATGTATGCATTGTGTATAACATGCTAGTTGGGCACCTGCTTTAATTGCTCCCACAGAATTAAAAGTACAGCTTCACCATTGCCCCAGTAGGGAGCATAGCTGCAATGTCATTGGGTTTCCCTTGGTTTGGACTTTTTTCTGTTTTCTCTTTATTTTTTTAGATCTTTTTGTTCCCCTGGATACAGAGATCTATAGGAAGGAAAATCCTCGGTGTGACCTGCAGCCTTCATGAACCATAAACTTTAGTACTGCTAATACTGACACCCATGAAAGGAACCTGGCATGCTGTAAGGGGCGTAAAAACACTTTGTCAAAAACAAAAAAAATTGCCTTAAGTATAAAATATGGAACAGTCAATACATATCACTCAATTCTGAGGGGGAGAGTTGTATTCTCTTGGCTTGTTCACAAGCAGCCAGCAGCGTAATTGTGCCTAAGCTTAATATTTCTTTTTTTAAAAAAAAAAGGAACATTAGTTATGAGATTTTTTATGTAGAACAAAATAGCGATGCCTTTTGGTTTTTTTTTAGCTTCTTTTGCATATGTTTTGTACGCGACAAAAGTTTTTTTTGTATAAAAAAAAAAAAAAGTCTTGTACCCCATGCTTTTCTGCTGCTGTTTCTATAGTTAACGTTGCATCTTTAGGATCAACCAGAATATTAAAATTGTATTACGAGAGACTGGATATAAAGAGAGGAATTCTCAGATTCGGCTCTGAAAGCCACTAAAAGCGAATGTAGCCATGGTAGGGGAATGCCTTTCCTTGCCTGGCTTGTACCTTCCATTATAAAAACTCATGTGCTGAATTCATCATCTCTTTGCTTTGGCCACTTCTGATTTGGGAAAAGGAAGTTAAATGACAAAGCAAGTTGTGGCAGCTTTCTTCAGCAGCTCTTGGGCTCCTCCCAGCATCTGGAATCGAGGACCTGCCTTCAGAGGTCTCTGCAGTTATGATCCCTGGGGTCACAGGAGGCAAGAGGTTGAGGGGCAAAGAATGCAGCTATCTTCTGGAGCTTCGCTGTGGAAGGACAAGGAAGCAGCCGTGATTGAGAAAGAGCTGCTGATAGAGAATGGGCCTAGAGACAAGAGAGCCAAGGGGTTTGGGGAAGCAGCACAAGGTGTAAGAGAATCTGGGGCTCAGTTGCCAGCTGGCAACACCTCATTCCCACACGCCTGAGTTCGTGCCTGCTGTCAGAGCCCCTTGCATGGGAGGAGGGGGGAGAGATGCCGAACAAAGAGAAGAAACAGAACAAAGAGAGGGGGACGGAGGATGGGCAGAACAAAGACACCCAGGAAACAAGGCAAACAGAACAAAGAACTGGCCAGGCTGGGGCCTTGCTGCCAGAGGGCATGCTGACTGCAAGCTGTGACCAGAGGAGTCATCGTCTTGGGTACAGATGAAGAGCAGTGTGAGCTGCAGAGACAGGGCTTTCGTGTGCAAAGGAAGCAGCAGTCGGTGGCAAGAAGTGGGCTTTGTGCAGCTCCAGCCCCAGCTTCCCATCTACATGGAGCATCTGTATGGGGCTTCAGCTGCTGCTGCTTGGTACATGGAAGTGGCAAGTTGAAATGCCACAGGCAGCAGGATTGTTTTTGAGCCGTTTCACCTGCTGCTGCCAGGTTATCTCCGTGTCCCCCTTTGGAGCAGCCGTCTCAGCAAGCTGCCCTACCCTACTGTAGGCAACATCACCAGGGGCCTCAGCTGGACAAAGCCACTGTCCTGTGCATGTGGGTTTTTCCTGTTGAGGCAAAAGGATGATGATCCTCTTTCCATGCTGGTCACAGAGGGGCTTCCCTTTCCAACAAGACACTGCAGCAGCCCTCAGTGCTGGGCACAGAAAACAGCCTCCTTCCCCTCTGCATACACCTTGCAAGAAAGTGCAGCAGCTGTTATTTCCCTGGGAGGTTGTGCTGGCTTTCCTGTGTCGCGGTGTTGTGGGGGCTGTGTTCAGCTGGGTGGGGACCCAGGCCTGCCCCCTGTACCCATGGAGAAGCTGCAGAGGAAGGAATGGTGTCTCCACCGGCTGACGAACTTGGCAGCATGTACGCCCATCTCCTACCAGGTGGAGTCAGCTTGTTGCCACAGCAGCCCTGGAATTGGAGCTGATCCAAAAGGCTTTGAGTTTGCAGCAGCAGCTTTTCATTTAAAAAAAAAAAAACAAAACAAAAAAAAAAATCACCCTCTTT